GGCACCCTTGACTGGCCTTATGAAGGGGGCCAAGGCCGGTAAACAGACCGGGCCCTTTGTGTGGGGAGCAATGCAGCAGGGCGCGTTCGATCGCCTCAAGGAGGCCTTCACCACAGCTCCCATGTTAGTCCATTTCGATCCAAGCTGTAAGATTAGACTTGAGACAGACTCCTCCGGCTTCGGGTTGGCAGGGAATCTTTCCCAATATGTAGAAGAAACCCCAGAACGAAGGGGTGGGTGGCACCCAGTCGCCTTCTTCAGCAAAAAGCTGGAGCCAGCAGAGCTGAACTATGAGGTCCACGACCAAGAGCTCTTGGCGATCGTGAGATCTTTCGAACAGTGGAGGCATTACCTAGAGGGTAGCCAACACCCAATCGAGGTCCTGACGGATCACAACAACCTGAAATACTTCATGGAAACCACCGCCCTCACAAGAAGGCAGGCGCGGTGGGCGCAGGCGTTGTCAGCCTACGACTTCCAAATATCCTATCGAGCTGGCAAGACCAACCCCGCAGATGGGCCGTCTAGGAGACCAGACTATGAGGAAGAGAAGGGTAGCCAGAACGTGATGCTTCCTACCCTTCGAAACAAGCTCCAGAAAGCCATACAGGCAGGAGAAGAAGCCCTGCAGATGAGGCGGGTAGTGGCTGACTTACAAGAAGTAGGCACCACACTGGGCGAAGACCAGAGTAAGGACACCAAGAGTCCAGGTCTCGTTGTCCCTCGAGTTATGGTGGCAGCCATGGCTCAGGGAGAGAGCGCCTACAGTGCCACGGCCGAACCCTTAGCGGATCTGATCAAAACCCTTCAAGCGGCTGACGAGCTCGCTGTTCACAGGGCCAGAGAAGCAGGGCCGGCGTGGGCGAAGGGCTCTTCAGGTTGGAGAGTAGACGATGCAGGCATCCTACGCTTCAAGGGAGCAGCCTACGTGCCTCCCAATCAGGCAGTACGTATGGAAATCTTCAAGATTTGCCACGACGACCCTTTGGCTGGGCACTTCGGATATAAGAAGACCCAGGAACTGATCCGACGGAAATACTACTGGCCTGGATTAGACCAGGAAGCCAGGGAGTACGTACGTGGCTGCGATCGGTGCCAGCGGATCAAGCCGGTACGGCATAGACCCTACGGCGAAATGCAAGGCCTCAGAATGCCTACTAAGCCCTTTGAGTCCATAAGTATGGACTTCATCACAGATCTGCCGCCTAGTATAGGAGCAGACCAAGCTAAGGCTTCAGACTCCATTTTGGTAATCGTAGACCGATACACCAAGGTATCCAAATATATACCCTGCCGGAAGACCATTACTGCCACCGAGTTGGGGCGGGTCTTCCTTGAGTATTGGGTTAAGGACTTTGGAATTCCTGCTGAAATAATTACAGACCGCGGCAGCGTATTTACGTGCCACTTCTGGTCGGCCTTCTGTTTCCACCTCAAAGTACGGCGGAACCTATCGACTGCCTTCCACCCTCAATCTGACGGCCAGACGGAAAGGCAGAACCAGAATATTGAGGCCTACCTACGCCTACACTGCAATCAGCACCAGGACAATTGGGTAGAACTTCTTCACTTCGCGGAGCTTACCTACAATAATGCCTTCCACGATTCCATCCAGATGTCGCCAAATCAGGCTCGATACGGTATCAACATCGACCTGCGGCAAGGGATCGAGGACGACCCCATGAGAAGGGAGGTGCCGGTTGCAAGAGACCGAGTCCAGAAGATCCTCGACCTACGAAAGGAGCTTGAAGAGGCCTGGGCGAGATCGAAGGAAGCCCAAGTCCGAGGATATAACAAGATCCACAAGCCAATGCAGTTCATGGTCGGCGAACGGGTGTGGCTTTCTGCCAAGAATATCAGAACCACCCAGCCAAGTAGGAAGCTAGGTCACCGGTGGCTCGGACCGTATGAGATCACCGGGCGGATAGGTAAACAGGCGTATCGATTGAGGCTTCCCCCACGGTATAAGGCGATTCACGACGTGTTCCACGTCTCCCTACTCGAGAGGTATCGGGAAGGCGTTGAGAAGGCCGATCCTCCACCAGATCCAGAGATCGTGGATGGGGAAGAAGAATACAAGGTCGAGGCAGTCCTAGACCACAGGACTGTGCGGAGGGGTAGAGGAATCCGAGAGGAATACCTGATTAGGTGGGCAGGCTACACTGCAGCTGACGATCAGTGGGTTCCAAAGCTTGACGTAGGACTACCGTTAATCAAGGCATATCACAAGGAACAGACGCAGAAGGCAATGTAGTGTATTGTCCTAAACTAAGGGAAAAAAACAACGCGTCAAGTTCCGAAGGAGAAGGGCTCACAGACCCAGAAGCAGACCCCGACCCAGACCTAGAAGAAATGCGCGCGTCAGACAAGGGGGCGACGACGGGGGCAGGGCGTGGATTGAAGCGCCACTGGTCTGGACGCACAAACAAACGCTCAAAAAGAGCACGATCGTAATCCGCAGGCGTAGGCAGGAGAATAGGTCCTACCGACAAGGGCGCGGAGGGCAGGACAGGCCTCACTCGAGCTACCCACAGGGTCAGCAAAACGTCCAGGAAGGATGGGAATCACAAACCTACGACAAACTTCAGGGCGGCGACGTGGGCGTTGAGGCCAACCTGGTAGGCGTCTAGAGCCGCATCAGTAGCGGCGTGGAACATAGCAGCAGCAGCCTTGAGAGCCTTGGTTTTGGCCTGATCCAGCTCAGCAAGGGTCTCAGCGTGGTGAAGAAGGGCTTGGCGTGGGTCGTTGAGGTTGCGGACGACGGGGCCCCCAGCCTCAGGGAGAGGCGCAACAGGTTCCTCGTGGAAGGACGTAGCAGCTCTCTTACCCTTATTCTTGACCTTCAGGGTGCGAGGCTCCTTGCCCTTATCAGCGGTAGTGAACTCGCGTTGGGCAAAGAGGAGGGAGGCCAGAGCCTCACGGGTGGCGACCGAATTATGTTCCAGCCCAGCGTCCTCGTCGTCAGCGCAACAGTTCAAATAGGCGTCGGACTTGAGCTGCAGGGCAGTGAGGGCATCCTTCTGATCAGGACCGACCTGCCTGGTTGTCAGCATATCCCACTAAGAAGGAAAAGGAGGCCTACCGGAACGCAGTGGTGGTTTCCTTGGAGACAGTCGCCGCACTTGTCCAAGCCAACAGGGACCCAGCAGATCTGTCCAGGATAGTTGTAATAGGTGACTGAACACTTGACGCAGCAGTCGCGGGAGCCTGCGCGAAGGGGACCAACAGACTCTGGAACTGGGCGGCGCGCAGAAAGCTTCCACCCCAGCGCCGTACGCATCTCCTTGGCGGCCAACTGAGCAGCGACCTCCTCCTCCTCCTCTGGAGCGTCCTCAACCGAAGGTGATCGGTAGGGACGCACGGTGCGAGGGCGAGAGGTGGACGCAACGGAAGCAGGACCGAAGGGAGTAGGGGTGGCAGGTGACTCCAACTCGGGAGACCCAGACATCTGGGCGGAAGAGCGCTTGAGAGGGGTGGTGACAGGCGCCACTGTCTTCTTGGGCTGCTTGCGCGGAGCCATGATTGACGGAACTAATCCACAGATCAGTCCCTGAAGACGAAGGACGGAAGGGAGGTAAATACCTTGCGAAGAGGGAGTAATCCTTGAAGCAAACCTTGGAAGAGGATCAAAAGGAAGAACCCAAGAACCCAGAAGAGCGGGCACTTGGTGTGAGGTTGTGTGAGGAAAGTAGGAAGTTGGGTAGGAAGTGGGAGTTAAGCGCGATGCCCACAACAACTGGGGGTGGCCGCGGCACAACAACAAGGGGGGTCACGGGACCCCCCTGACAGGCGCGAGTTCGATAACAACAACCCACCCTACGCGCGAGCAAACAAGCCAAACAAGCCCAAACAAGGGCGCAATCAGCCCTGATCTCTATGCCTGGAATTGGGGGCAATTCCCTAGAAGGGGGAGGTAATTGTAAGGCGGCCCTCACGTGAGGGCACGTGAGGTGTCACGCTCTTACAGTGGACCTGGCGGGCTCGGTAAATTAGGGCCTACGGGTTCCTGTATATAAGGGGCTGGAGGCTCGGAGTGAGGCCTCCAGTCAATAGTCGCTGTATATACGTAGACCTATTGTTACGCATTGAATCCTACTTCCTACCTACTGATCTGGTTCCCTGAGCTCCCGTGTGACCCTGGGTCCTACGACTTTACACCTGGCCTATACACACACTCGTCCCGAACGCCCAGAACGCATTCCGGAAAAGATCAATACGCAAGCAATGGCGTCGTTTTTTGAGCTCCACCAATGTGTAGAGAACTAGGAACTATGTTGTAGGTCAAGCATGAGAGTAGTCTTTTTGTGGCTGCCTCCGGCTCCGAATTATATTTCGGTGAGACAGACCTGTGGGTTCCCTGCGACTTGGAGGTACGTTTCGACCGCCGCCATATATGGGCTGATCCACGTAAAAGATCTGGCAGTACTGCAAAATTTGCCCACATCGCAGCCCGTGAGACGGGGAATGAAACGGAAATTGCATGGAGATACATCCCTGAGTTATGAATACTATAATTGGGCTAAGGGAATTGTAACGGTGCCTGGTTACACTTATGTGTCGCCGAGCCAAAAGACTACAATACACCAAGCCGCGTAACACGCTATATATATACCACTTGTATTAATAGTCGCGCCCATTACAGGCATTAATAATAGCGACGACTCAGAGTTGAGTCAGCTAGATCTGGAAGGTATAAGTATGCAGTGTACCACGTCACAGATCCAATTAACGCCCTGTAGGTCACCACCATGCAGCTGAACCTGGATTTCACCCTTGCTTCAGCTGTCATTCAGTCATCTAAACGAATGTTTGACTAGAAGACAGATATCCGTTTATATGATCGGATGGAGAAAATGCCTCGTGACACGACATGATATTATATCCGTAATATATCCCACCTTCCCCAACCAGGCATCAGAAATAATCATATTCAGTTCGTTTTCTTTTCTATCCTCAGCTTCACTTGATCCTTTCTCACGACGCTCACTACATCATCAAATATGACCATCACACCACCACAAGGCCGTAAGCCTGCGTTCATCCTCTCACACCCCCGCACGGCATCAAACCTCTTCATGAAGATTTTCAAATCCCACCCCGATGTTGTCCCCGCCGAATATCCATTCCTAGACGTGTTCTTCTTTGGGATAGAATCACAGTGCAGTCGCAAAAGCCCGGAAATCGAGGCGGCCCGAACCGCATTCCAAGAGAAGACCGGAGTATCAAGGTCATATCACGAGGCCTTCAAGAAGCTCGAGGACGACATTCGCAAAGCTAGTGAGCAGGTGAGCTTCCTCGTTTCTCAAGAGTTTCCCAGGAGCGGTGCTTATTTTAGTGATAAGGACAAGGTAGCATTTGTGAAAGAGCATATTTGCGTATTTCTTAAGCCGTCGGTAATTGACAGCAACCTCGAAGCCCCTCGACCACCTTGCGCCACTCCCCAGCTGGAGCCGAATGATGCTGAGGTGAGAATTTCAACTAACCCGACATTACTTCCCGACGACTTCATGCTCTCGGTTTCACCCGTTTTCTTGATTCGCCACCCGGCGCTGGTATTTCCCTCCTGGTACAAAATCAGTACGAGTGGCTTGGGCGCAGACATTGACGATTCCGACTTTCCAGTGGAAGTCTCCTTTCGTTGGTCTCGCATCCTTTACGACTGGTATCTGAACACATGGTCAAAGACCACGTCAAGCTCTCCACTGAACCAGCATCGCAAGCCAGCTGTGATCGACGCGGACGACACAATGTCCGACCGCGCTGCTCTAGAGCGTCTATGCCACCAGTTCCAGCTCGACCCGCGGCAGCTTAGCTTCGAGTGGCAGGCTGCGAAGACGGAGCTGGTTCCGTGGTTCTCCACTATCCAGAAATCCACTGGCGTTGACATGTCAAAGATTTCCAAGGACATCGACATCCAGCAGGAATTTGTGAAGTGGGAAGACGAATTTGGTTCTCATGTGGCACAGAAGCTGCTGCGTTTTGTTGAGTTGGCCATGCCGGATTACGAGTATCTGCTATCTAAACGGGGGGGGTGAAGTTCTGAGAAGACTGGCCTCCCAATGAGGGGTATCTGGGGATCTACCCGTAGTGGTATAGAACCCTCTTGACTCAATATTGCCAAGATACATTACAAATAAACGATGTTGAGCAAATGGCAATTCCAAATGGCGATTTTTAACTGACCTCGAAAATACTTGGATGATTTGCGTGTCTCAGTTGGATCTAACTCAGACCTGGTGTCCTTGTGTTACCCCACATCTGTGTACGACCGCTTCTAACTCATGATGGGCAGATATTTACGCGGATCTTGGCTGTGAAACGTAGCCACCGTGACACAACGTGTAGACATGTAAATGGCTTAGAAATTTGAAACCAAGATACGATATAAGAGACATTATTGTACCTATAGTGTATATTAACCATGAGACCTTCTTAGAAATTAGAGGACATGCTCTATGGGATGTTGCAGGCCGTCAAGGTCACCTGGCGTCAGGTCTAGTAATATCCGCAGGAGTTCGTCCGTTCTAATGCCATTGGTAGAAGCGTACTCAATGAAGCTTCGTAAATTAACTGCAAATGCATGCTGTTCTGAAGTTGAGCATATGAACTTCATTGAGCTACCAGCAAGAGATGCGGCGCACCACTGTATCAAGGCTTTGATATCCGGATTACCACCAAATGTGCGGCAACCCCAGAAGCCAGTGTATATCACCGAGAATGGCTCTCTCGGGCTACCCTCACGAGTTATATGGCTTGCCCGGAACCCAGTATAGGCCTTGCGCAGTTTTCTTTCCACATTTCCAGGAAGCACATCAGGTAAGCCGCCTCTCCTGTCAGCCATGTCGAGCTCCAAAGCATCAACAAACAGTATTGCGCTTGGCCCATTTGCGGTGATGGACCGCGGAGCCACCATTCATTCGGCAGGAGCACTTCTGCGCATCGAGCGTCGCGGCCAACCCGCAATAGTAATCATTGCCTCAGGGCCCACGACTATGAGGGCCAGGTTATCTTCCAGGGTTGGAGTTACAAGAACTGCAGGGCAGCACTCTGGTGATGCGCCTACATGCGTCTCCTCCTGTTCTCTCTCCTCGATTCATACGAGCTACAGGTGCCATTCTGGGAGTTGTTTAATGCGCTTATGGGTGAAGAAGTCAACAGCCCAAGAGGTGTCATTGATCTACTTGAATCCATCTCAATTTCACTGAGACAGAAGATCGATACGGACTATGGCTTTCTCCGAGATTTTATGAAGGGTCTGAAGGACGATTTCTATACACAGACATGGCCTGCGCTTGTCAGACTTGCGCTAGAAATGCCATCACTCTTCCCAGAGCATAGCCTAACGATTCTCTCCCCCAAAAGCCCCCAAGTCGAGCTGTCCAGGCGGCAGACGGCTTGTCTTGTTGTTCACCAGTTTCTTTGCACTTTGACCGCGCCAAAGTGGCAAGATTGATATCAAGACTTCCATATCTGGTATAACTCAGAGCAACCAGCAGCTCTGTTCATATATTTTGACCGGATAACCAACAACGACGATTACTCGCCTCTCGCACCTAACCCAGCTTCCTGGCCAATACCCTACACCCTCCACACGAACCGGGGTCCCCTACCCACCGTGAAACATAAGCTTTTGCCTCTGGAAGTTTTGGAGTTATCAGCCGCAAGCACATCACCGGAGGTCCTCGGGATTCCAGATGGCGCGTCGGTGATCTCCGCAAACAAGTTCGTTGGGTTCGGCCGGACAGGCCGGTCCTCGCACAGGAGCCATGGAGAACATGGCAGCATGTAGCGATCCTCCATCACGACCGACTCAAAAGTTGGATAAATCCGAAATCGGTGATTTATGATCGCCGCCGTGAAAACCCTCTTGTACCGAGGAGTTCTAGGTGGCAGTCGCTGACGCGGATTAGGTTACACTGTCTAAGCCGGGCTTTAATTGCGCCGCAGCGACGGTGGTGAGTTTTACCCGTTTATTCAAGCAACCACCCACTAGATTAAGAGTTAGAGAAGCGATCAGACGGCTGTACCACATGCAACAATGGCAAAAAATCGTGTTAGAGCTGCAACAGCGGTGGCTGCTCGTACACCACTATCTCTTGCTAAATATGTACGTAAGCCAAAAATAATGGGCCATGTTTTCCTGATTCTAATGACTATATAACTGAGGGCTTCTCTTCCGAGTCTGGCATGAAACTAGCTGTGCAAATCTGGCTTTAAACGCACTTGATGCGGACATGCAAATCGAGTTTGAGGCGGAGCAGGAGCGGTATAGATGGAAAGAAATAAAACCGATGAGATAGTTCATTTATCAATGACAATCTTATCTACACATGTGTGTGTGTATACCGTTACTTATTCATTCACAGGTTTGACGGATGGTGGCTTCCGAATCAAGAAAGTTAGCAATGTCATTCTATGCAACCTGAAATTCCATAACCCTCCAAAACATTTGTCCAATCTTAATCATATTTCATATTTTTTCATATCACGTCACCTGAATACCGTGGTAATGGCTAACTAAGTGAACCCAAGTGCATGCACATATTGCAACAAATAGTCGAAATAGCCGAGCAATCACGCAAAAATAAGAAGGATATTCCAATATTCTCCCACAAACCTTTAGGCAACGACGCCAGTGCCAGCCTTCGACTTTACCAAATCGCAAATGCACGAAGCCGGGTCGAGGCTATAGCATTGACCGTGCACTTTCATATACATATATATTAAACAACTGAACTTTTAGGAAGTATGAAACCGCTCGATCGAAGTGATTGTTTTACTACCTTCGCATATCTATTTTTAGATTAACCGTTAGTAGCTTATCTGGTTACCCCAGATTAGATAAAATTTAGCGTAGGGACGGACTACCGGCATTGGGATGACGTCTATGCGAATACCTTCAACAAATTTTGAACCAGCAACTCCGTAATATGGCACCTGGAGAGGGTAGCGGTTTCGGAACCCGATTAGTAAAGGCCTTTCGTCCCAAGGCTTCATCTAAACTCCAGAAATGTCCAAGACCTACCGCGTCTGTGAATACGCTAGCGGAAGCCTCGGGCGCACCTCAATATGAAATACGGAGCCCATCACCTATATATCACAAGGAGGCCATGATTGATAGCCAGTTAGGCGAGAGACAGGATAACACGGCACTGCTGCATAGTTTAGTTTATGACGATGAGGTGTACGATGAACAGCAGCTTTCAAGGGCCACGGGTATTGCGTGCCACCCTAAAGACCACATTCTATCGAAGATACCGTTGCCCATTTGGGATGCAGTTCTCGAATATCTAACGCCATTTGAAGCGGCTAGTCTAGCATTTACTACCAAAGGACTACTTTGGCGCCTCGGCTTACGACCATGGCAAGCGCTATACCACCCGGAAAACCATCAATACAAGATTCAGTTCCTCCTCACCATGGACGGATACCTCCCAAACCACCTTTTGTGTTTCTTATGCGCTTCCTACCACTACCGCATACACCATGGCAACGAGACTCTCAAGCCGGCAGCGGCACACAACCCTCTATATAAGTGCCCCAAGGCCTTCGATCTTCCGTTCCCTCGCACCCGCATCACTCCTCGCCGCAACCTCCCCTTCTCATTTGTCCAACTCGTCACGAAGGCTAAACGATACGGACCGGCGTACGGAATCCCCGTGGAATCTTTGGTGCGGCGGTGGAAGGAGGACCATTGGTCCCACCAGAGCCAATTTGCCATTATTAACGGCCATCTGCACATGCGAGTGAGCAGTTATTGCTACGCGGAGTCCGGACTTACCCAGAGCGAAGTGCGGCTTCTACTCTTTTCGCGCGATGACTATAGCCCATACTTTTCGACCTGCGCCCATTGGAGAGACGGCATGTTGATGGAGCTTTGTAAGTGCGCTCTCAGCCATATACCAAAACCGCCCGATTCGATGGGTCAGAAAGTTAAGGACAGACTACACCACCGCCACTACGACCCTCGGTCAATTGTGACACTGTGTGAATCATGCAGACCGATGAGGCGATGTCCAGACTGCCCAAGCGAGTACCTTATCGAGCTAAAAAATATGGAGGACCGGCCGACAAACTCGTTCAAGCGCGCGATCTTAGTGACGCGTTGGTGCGACCTTGGGGACGGCTTAACGCCGACGTCACCCGAGTGGGCTGCTTGTAATGGAGAGCTGGGAGAATACGATTCGTTTGGGGAGATTGGGAGAAGGGCAATATCGGGCATGTTCGAGGCGCATTTCACCAAAGAACATATTCCAGGGCAGAGGATACTAAACCTCAACCCGAGAGCAGAACGGCATTCACATGACGACCCTAATTGGTATTAGAGAAGGGTAAGGACTGTATAATAGTTGGATCTGGCATGCATTATATTTTTAGACGATCAAATCAACGCCACCGAAATGTACAGGTACCATCAGGACTTATAAACCAAGCTGTCCGGCTATTTTTCATAGGTGACGTGGTCAGCATGGTAGTGCCACCACCGAAGCTTCCCAGCCGATGTCCGATAGAGTTCGCCCTTTCCATTTTCAGGCATGAAATTCTGAAACCCTTCAAAGAGCTTTGGTGAGTCCTGGAGCAAAATCCTGGCTTTAACATACAGGCGGCGATTTGCCCTAATCCTCGTTCTCTCAAAGTCCTCAATGGCCACGTCGTATCTTTCATAGACATCTGGTCTGTCGCTGAAATAGATCTGTAAATCGTCAGAATGACCAGCGTTGAATGTGGAGAAAACAAAAACATACCTTGAGAAACTCCATGTACCGCCTCCCTTCTTCCTTGTGGAACCGAGATGCCCCTCCAGTTGCCATGGTGCGTCCCGCAACCGTTGGATAAACATTTGCTGGCAACAGTTGACGAAAGCCTTCAAGTAGGCCCGCATCAACACTGAAGCCTGGGAGGTTTTTGGCCGCTGACATGGTTTTCATGGCATTCTCTTCTATTCTATCCTCCTCAGAATCTTCGGCTGCTGTGCTTCCGACTGTGACTTTGGCTACACGATTGATGGCAGAGTTGACCAGAGCTGCAGCGTATGGCGTTCCTTCCCCCCTTCGAATAGTTTTAATTAAGACATTTCGGACTTGTGGAAGTCGAAGTGCAGTTCCACGGAACAAGGCCTTCACTTGGGCGCTGATATGTTGGTGGGCCTCATCTCTTCCAGCTGAGTATGACTTGAGCAGACGTAACAGTTCTTTATACACCTCTGGTTTGTTCTCGTAGTTCATCTAACCACCAATTAACCTCTTGACTTCCTCTCCGATGAAATCTGTTACCTTGACTTGCTCCAAGAATGAACTGGCTTGGCGGAGGATCTCGATTGAGTGGGCTGCTTCATCTTGAGCATGGAGAGATTCCATACTTGATAGCTGTCTTTCAGGAAACCTCGAGTAAAGAGAGTAAACCCGGAGATGTGGTTTCTCCCAATCATAAAGGAGAGTGGAGTCAGCACATAACAATCTCACAGTCAGAATTCACTTGAAGAGGTGGTACTGGGTGTAGTTCACCATCGAGACTAGGTAAATGTGACAAAATCGTCCTAGCAACAAAACGCTGGAGGGAAAATAAGCCGCTCGAATTTCAATACAAATTCACATTTAATTTCCACTGCAAAACAAGACGATTGAAAACATTGTGATACCATGCAATGAAATCCATGAAGTGGCTTATACTCCAAATTCCATACACATCCACTTCACCAGATAATCCCCGGGCAATATTATTCACACTCAGCAAGTCGCGCCAACATATATCATCGGACCTGATGATATTTATCAACATGTTTCTTTCTTGTAATTCTCTTACGAGATATACATTCGCTTGGTGTTGAGAAACAGTTCTGTGGTTCTTGTCACCCTGCAATCAATAATAGGAAAAGATTCACCTTAGAGCTCCCGCAACAGGCCACAGCTTCAGGCTTGAGATGCAGGATCTTGGTAGCATTATTAACGGCCAAACTATTGAGCTCTTCGCATCAGGCATTACCGCCCGTCATCGAACACTCTATTGGCAGGAGATCAAGCTTTCATAAAGCTCCTGGTATCGATCACCGGCGCGCCTCGTGACCGTCTGATGACATAAGCGAGGCTGATAGGATAGAGGCAACAACATCTCGCCATCGTCATCTTGTCACCTGGCAGGTCCAAATCTCCACAGAGTTTCTTTCCATCTGTTTCGCCGTCGCGCTCCCGACTTCACTGAAATATTGCATCTCTAACCTGCGCAGCATACAACTCAACTTGCCGTTCCAAGTCCGAATCAATAGCACGCAAATATGGATTTACTCGGCAAAATAACCCCGCTCTCAATTCGGAGTGCCATGGGCAACATTCGGGACCGTGTTGCAGAATCCGTGGAACATGCCGACTTCTTCGAGACGGGACAGATCGGCACCAAGGATTTTGAGGCCGCAGGAGACTATCTCACGACCAAGTTTCCCTCGTGGCAGTGGTATCAACCGGCAAAGCTCACTAAGCCCGTGGATAAACTCGACCCAAAGAAACACATTCTGAAATACGTAGGTGTACCATGCCACCAGCGGCTAAACGACACGTTTCAAGGGGTTTCTGAACAACAAGAGACGAGAGTTGTGGATGGCGAGGACTTCCAGAATGGCGCAAATAGCGGAACTCCTGGGGATGATGAGGATGGATGGGTAAAAACCGCAAACCTGGCTGCGAGCCAGGAGAGAAGGGGAAGGGATGTGAGGACCTTGGATGAGAGTGGAAATTTGGGAGAGGTGGAACCGGACGAGTCCGATGATATCCCGGATATGGACGACGATTCCGACCCGGAGGCACTCAAAGATGAACCCTCCGGAGAGGCGAGGTAAGTAACCAGCTTTCCCTTCGCAATAAGTTGACGGATCTGTATCGCATCGTGGACTAACACAAGAGCAGCAAATATCGAAAATACGACATATATATTGGTTACTCCGCATACGATCGAACTCCCCGCATGTATTTGGCAGGCAAAGACAGCAAAGACCATCCATTACCCCCGAACCTCATGATGGAGGACATCATGGGCGATTACCGCGAGAAGACTGTGACCATCGAAAACTTCCCACACATGGATGGACTGAAGACTGTTTCGATACATCCATGCCGTCATGCTTCAGTCATGAAATCTCTTATGAATCGTGCAAACAGCGCGCTCAAACTTCGAAGAGAGAAGCAAAGGCTGGCACAAGGTGCTGACAGTCGTCAAGACTTAGGTGACCAGCCGGGCGACATAAATAAGCTGAATCTTGCTGGTGGGGCAAGGAATGAATCCAAGAGAAATGCTGAGGATGAATGGGAGGTGGTGGAAACACATGGTGATCCCTATGAAGACGAAGTTGCAATAAGGGTGGATCAGTATTTGGCTGTGTTCTTAAAGGTAAGAAAGTGCCGAAGATGGGAAACTCTGTCCATACTAACAACGATATGTGCTCAGTTTATGGCTTCAGTCATCCCAAATGTTGAAATCGACAACACAACGTCTATCTGAGAGGACCTTGAAGATATCAAGTAACTGAGCCAAGCTGACTCTATTTCTGTTCCACAACGACAACGTTCATCGCTCGAAATACAGATTACTTAGAAGTATGGTTGGGCCGATAACGTTATATCGTAAATGCCACTACTCTAATACTCATAATGACTCTTGTTTTCAATCAGGTCTTATTTGTATCCGAATGATTAGTGCTCAATCGAAGATATCAAACCAATATTAAATTGCGCTGTTCCTTAAAGAAGGTTTCAATCTATTATATAATTCCTAGAAGTATACCCTACAATAGTCTGCCCGACTTCTTGAGCTACGCAAGAAACTAAGTTTTGCGCTTCAAACAGCAGCACCAACACCGTTCCAACCCCAACCAGTAACTCGAAACTCATATTGAACATCTCCAATGTGCCAACTGAATTCTCCATATAGCAAAAATATTACAATCCCAGTGATCGATCCACTAGTTGCACCTATATTCGACCCTCCCTGCGGGTGTCCTGCGCCATACATCGAGCCCACTACACATGTTTTCGCACAGGGCGATTGGGGTCGGGCTTATCAACAATGATTATAGTTTCTGCCTTGAAAACTTCACGCGTTTGGCTCCATACTTTCCTACAGCACGGCAAACATTCTGTGTCTCGCACAACAAGAACACAGTTCGTACCATAGCCACCATAAAGTCCAGCAACAACACACCTTCCCAAGTCGCTAGATTGCATGCTCCAACTTTCGTAATGGTTCTCCTTGTCAAACTTGTGCTGCAGCTCTGGGACTTTGCTACCATCCCAGTCAGACCCATCACCCCAACCTGTGACCAAAGTACCGGAATGGCTACACGATAGCCGCCGGTAGCTAGTGAGCATCTTTTCGGACACCATATACGGCTGCAGGTACATTCCGGCTGCGTCTCCATCTCCTAAGAAAAGGTCGTAATGAAGGAATAACTGGTTAACAGTCTCTCTCACGGCTAGTTTCACCGAGGTTAAGAAACCTTGCAATGCGCATATTAACAGGGCCTGATCCTTCTCGAACTTTTCTTTACTGTGGAGAGGTATTGATCGTTCTGGCCTGTCGGTTAACTGAGTGAACCTCTTGCCTTGGTGCAAAATCTGCCCTGGGCAGATTTGAATCATTGCAAACATTTCCGGGCTATTCGGGATTTCGCAAAGAATACGGAGATATATGCAAATCCCGTCGACGGAAATTGCTGGCGAGCCAGAAAATTTTGAATTGAGTTCCTTGGAGGTGCGTCCTGTGAATAGACATAGCGCATGTTCCATATGAGACGGAAAATTATCCATGGCAACTAACGGTGCCATTTTTGGGGCCTTGAGGTCTGAAAGACGGTATCTGTGTACTCCTGGTGGATCCGGAAGGTATTTCTTTGGGTTGGTCCCAAGCTCCCCACCACGCATATTATATAGTTTACGGAAACCAGTACTCGGTGTTCCACCCACTCGCTTCGCTCGTAGGTGGCGACAGCAAGTTGTGCGTGCGACAGCAAGATGTGCGACACATAAAACGAAGAAAAAGACGCCTTATATATCAACTATATAACTATATAATTAAAACATAAAATCAATAGAACTACTATCACTATCGCTACTGCCACTATTGCTACTATCACTTTGATCCTTACTATACCGTAAAATGATCACTTTTGATTTCAACCCTTCCTTCTTCCGCTCTGCTACCCGCTTCCTCTCAACCTTACGCTCTTCAATTTCGATTTTACGTGCTTGCGCTTGTAGCTGCTTTACTACTTGGTCCGATTCCCTTGCTGCTCTTGCGTCTGCTTTTGCTTGCAACTTTGCTTTCTTCTCTTCCCGCATTTTCCGTGCATCTGATGCATATAACTGCCCTCCTTTCTGTAGTGATTTCCGTGCCCTTGCCTTTGCTGCCTTCTGCTCTACTGCACGTAGAGTCATAATATCTAGCTCGGTCTTATAGAGCTCTGCCCGGTGTAGAACAACTGTAGTTCCACGTGCAAATGATTGAAACCCTTCTCTTGAAGGCGATGAGAAAGCTTCCTCTGCTCTCTTCTGCCAATGTTCAACCGCTTGCACACTTTGCATAGTTGTTTTCGGTGTTGAGATAATATTATATGAAGCAAATGGCTCATAATCAGGTGTTTGATTCCGAGTCTCTTGTATCTTGTCAATTACAAGTGGAGGATTATATGGATATAGTCCTGTATTTCTCCAACCAGATTGAATTGTACGGACAGTTAGAGATTGCCGTCGGATTTGCGGGAGGTCTGAAAGGAACGTACGTAGCTTATACTCATAGTCGTAGCTACGTACTGCTTGATCAAGTGCCTTTTGATGAAAGTGTTTGCACTGCTTAAAAACCGCTACATCAAGAGGTTGTAATAGATGTGTTGTATGAGCAGGAAGGCAGCAAATAACAATGTTATGCTCTTCTGCTAATGTAAGAAAGCGCTCTGTTTTATGAGAGTCATGGCCGTCAAGTAATAAGAGGCGAGTATCATCTGGTGCCATATGCTCTGCAGATAGTTGGATAAAATGCATAAGGTATTGGATTGCAATGTCGTCGTTTGAATACCCGCTCTCATTTACAATAATGAGAGCATTTGGCTCAAGGTCATCATTGTACCATGAATCCATATGAAGTTTGCCAGGGATAATGATAGCTTCTGCAAGTGCAGCACCACTTGCATTTACTGCCTCAATTACAGTAACAGAGAGCCGATTCTCAGGATTATCAACAGTCCACTGCTTTACACCGATTGGTACAATAACAGCCGTAGACTTATAACACCCAATCATATAGCCTGTCTCATCAACATTCCATAAATTATATGGCTTAATGTTATGTTTTGTAATAAGGGCGTTATATGTGAGAAAGAATTCCTCAAACACCTCTTTCTTTTGTGCTTGCTTCCGATGTGTATTTAACGTCTTCGTGTGAATTGTATGAAATTCGGGGTGTGCTTTTAGAAAGCGTTGTAGCCACCGTTGTGATGGTATCGTACGATTAGGTCGTAAGTCTGCAACTGCCCGTAGTATCATAGATCGGTTGGCAGGGACCCCGCGCTCAAGTTGGTCGTATATGAATTGACAGACCGCGGTCTCTTGCGATTGAGATAAGACTCGATTGCTACCTCCGTGGGGTAATTGAGGAGACGTAGTACTCGTAATACGACATCGGAGTGTCTCACGGTTGACATTGAATTTATTTGCAACCCAAGCAATTGTATATGTACTTGGTTGTTTTAAGAAGAACTGTTGGGCCTCATTAAGGCGAGCAATCATAGTAGGATCGTTATTTTGAGGCATTGTAGATACTACGTTATGAAGAATACTATTATTTTTTCTATATATCAAAATAGCGGTGTACGCACATCTTGCTGTCGCACGCACAACTTGCTGTCGCCACCTACGAGCGAAGCGAGTGGGTGGAACACCGAGTAACGTGCATGTATAACGAAAGTGCCAAACAAGCGAAAGTGCCAAAATATCGCGACTACCCCATAAGAATTGCGATAAATCCACCACAACAATATAAATTAATTAAAACTACTCGGAGTCCTCTTCCTCAGACCTGTCTATTACAATCTGACAAGTGCGCGCATTGTGTCCAGTCTCACCACACTTGCCACAGCGACGTGCATGGGTTTCTTCCCTTGGCTTCCGACCACTACTTGCCCTTATTTCTTGCTCTACTTGCTGCACAACGTCCCTCTTGTCCTGTAGCTCCTGTGCTACCTGTTGACTAAGTGATCCTCCTTGCTGTAGTCGTGTTTTTTTAGCTCTCCGGCGCTTGCTTAGCACTTCATTTGCCTGTCGCAGGTTTTGGTTCTCTGCTTTTAACAATGCTAATTGATGCATTATTTGCGATGCACCCTTTGTAAACTGGTCAACAGCTGCATAGATTGAGGTTGGAGAGCTATTTTGATGATGCGCAATTCAGTTTTTAATGAAAGTAGACTGTGATACAGCTTCAGTTGGGTTATTTGGTGTCTGAGAAACCCATGGTTGAGCGGTGTTTGGGCGAGAGGTTGGAGGTGTTGGCGTCTTAAACCTAAGGTCAAGTCTAGATATTACACTCTCAGGGCTAAATGGAAGAAGCCCAGCACCTCGGAACCCTCCCTGAATATTGCTTTCTGTCATTGCAATGTTAAATGCAGCGTGGAAGGCAGGAAAGAAGTCATCCTTAGTAATGTGAATAATATGATGTCATACTGACATTCGTTGCACTCAGTTTGCTATCAAACTCAAGAGCAAACTTGGAAATCTCCTCCTCAAACCTACAAGTCACTATACATATTTTGGCTTATCACACCAACAACAAGAGCAATACTACTCAACGATTGCTACAACCATCTATGATTCATTACACGTCATCGCTCCTTAGTTACTGGGCCGATATTACCACATAGCATATCTCTACAACCCTCTATGATTCATTACATGACATCACTCATACTACCACATGACATATCTCTACCAACTAGAGGCCTAGGAGCATGAACGATAGCTCTAAAAGCTCCTACGAACCTCTATGATTCATTACATGTCATCGCTCTTTAGTTACCCACAAGATTGGTTAAGTTATGACATAATTTGTCTATGACATAATTTGTCTATGACATAATTTGTCTATGACATAATTTGTCTATAGGGGTACTCTGACCTTGGACCTCCTTTTACTTCCTATAGGCTACGAACCTAAGAGATGGTTCTATGGGATTCTCTTACGTCGACTACAGTTACCAAGCCTGGTAAGTCATGGAAAGTCTTGGAAAATGAGAGAACTACACTCCTTTAGCATAAATAGGATTGCCCTTTCCTTAAGAAAGGGCAAGCAGACAATACAGTAAATCGACTATCACATACTTCCACGTCTTTTCCAAGCTTCCAAGCATTCATCTTGTTACTCCTTGTTTCTCAAAAGTCAGTGAGGTGTTAACCTCTGACTTACCCCTGAGTTCCCAGACTCAACATTTGTTGCAACTTGTCTGAACCACTTCACTACATCACACACCTGATTGCTGCGTTGTGGAATAGTCTAAGCTACGACCCTTTGGCTCTGTTTTCTAAGACAGTGTGTTGTCTTAGTAAATTCATCCCTTCCTTGGGTGGCTAGATTCTCACATCTGGTGCACCCACCATTACATATGAGCCCGCATCATATCTTCAATTTGCTGACTGTAAGCTCTCTTTAATGGGCTGTAATGGTGGGTGCACCAGATATGAGAATCTAGCCACCCAAGGAAGGGATGAATTTACTAAGACAACACACTGTCTTAGGAAACAGAGCCAAAGGGTTGTAGCTTAGACTATTCCACAACGCAGCAATCAGGTGTATGATGTGGTGAAGTGGTTTAGACAAGTTGCAACAAATGTTGAGTCTGAGAACTCAGGGGTAAGTCAGAGGTTAGCACCTCACTGACTTTTCAAAAACAGAGAATAACAAGATCAATGCTTGGAAGCTTGGAAAAGACGTAGAAGTATGTGCTAGTCGATTTACTGTATTGCCTGCTTGCCCTTTCTTAAGGAAAGGGCAATCCTATTTATGCCAAAGGAGTGTAGTTCTCTCATTTTCCATGACTTTCCATGACTAACCAGGCTTGGTAAATGTATTAGAAATCAAGTGCGACCCACAACTAGCTTGCTAATCATGTAGTGAACGTAAGAGAATCCCATAGAACCATCTCTTGGGTTCCTAGCCTATAGGAAGTGAAAAGGAGGTCCAAGGTCAGAGTACCTATAGACAAATTATGTCATAACTTAACCAATCTTGTGGGTAACTAAGGAGCGATGACGTGTAATGAATCATAGAGGGTTGTAGAAGCTTCTAGAGCTATCGTTCATGTTCCTAGGCCTCTAGTTGGTAGAGATATGCCATGTGGTAGTATTGGCCCACCCCCTTAAGGAGGAGATTTTCTTAATAACTTGTTCAATGAGTGTCCAAATGATATGCCGTGATGTATGTAGCATAAACAGATATAGTAGAAGAGTTTGCAGCAATCGTTGAGTAGTATTGCTTCTGTTGTTGGTGTGATAAGCCAAGATATGTATGGTGACTTGTAGGTTTGAGGAGGAGATTTCTAAGTTTGCTCTTGAGTTTGATAGCAAACTGAGTGCAACGAATGTCAGTATGACATGGGCCAAAACAGCCAACATCAAGTGGTGAGTATATGGGAAGATTGAGCAGGCATACAAAGCGTAATAATGTTGTGTTCTTTGCAGTACTCCTCAAACTTGTCTGAGTGGTGGCTCTCATGACCATCAAGTACTAACAAGCGATAACCACCAACACTCCGGGGCTTTGTGTGGTTCTCAAAATGCTGAATCCAATCCATACCTCTCTCGTTTGTAGTCCAGCCATTTGCAGTAACAGCGATTACCCAATCTGCTGGAAATCCGCTATTCTCATACCAAGATGCAAGGTGGTTTTTACCTGCCACAATGACAAATGGCGGCACTGCCCAACCTTGAGAACTAACGCCTTGGATTACTGTAACCCATTCCCGATTGCCAGGCTGCACCTTTTTTGCCTTTGCCCGCCCATCTGAGCTCGTTACTACCGTTGCGCTTGAGATGACGCCCATCATAAACCCAGTCTCATCAAAGTTGTAGATATCTGCATTGTTGATGCCATACTTTAGAATTGTGTTCCATACAAGCTCAAACCAGCCACGAATGACTTCTGGATCTTCGCACTTAGCCCTCTGGTAGTCGTATTTTCGCTGGAAGCGTGTCCGGAGCTCTACATGGCGCTTAACAAAGTTTGAAGCCCAACGTGACCCGACGCGTGGCGCGTCGCGTGTTGCAAGTAGTCGATTTGCCATATCTTCAACAATAGACAACTGAGGAGGAAAACCTTTAGCAGCTAAGTCAAGTATATACTGAACAAGAACTGATTCCTCTAGTTACTTAATTTCCGTAAGTTGGCTTGGATATCGCGTCATGAAGGTACGCCTTGTAAACGGTGACGTAGCTTGCGGTGGTCTACGGAATAGATCCTAGCTGCAACTCGAAGGCGCAAATTTTGGTCGCTTTGCATAGCTTGGATAGCTAGCACTAATTTGCTTTCATCATTTTTATGGCGCATGTTTTGTTGTGGAGGAATTTAACATTTAGTTGGGGGGGTTGGTCACCATGATTTTGGCACTTTCGCTTGTTTGGCACTTTCGTTATACATGCACGTTAAACTTTGGATAAAGACCTTCGGCACAGTCAACGACGGAAAGAAGCCGTCCAATTCGAAGTATTAGCTCCACGAGAACAACTTGGCAATTGACTTCTTTCTCTTTTGCTTCAGTGTCCAGCCCCGCACACAGTCTGCAACCGCAATCATCCCGTATGTCTTTTAAAGACACTCGATATTTTGATGCCGCATCTTTGTAGGTTTGGGTATCGGAATCTTGATCTAGATATTGTTTGATTGCTAAGAGTTCTGGGAACCACTGGAGCAAGTTATGAATGAAGGCCGGCCCGAATGACGACTCAACATACAGCACGTTAGTTTCTAAAACACCTATCGGTACGCCTTCCTCTGCAGTCGCTATAGCACTGTATATCCTTGCTGCGGCGTTCACAACACTCGCGACGCGGTCAGGCCTTTTCATCAATTCTTTGAACAGCACACCAAATACTGCATATAGGCAGTTTTCCCACCGCACACGGCCGTTCATCGTTGGCGTATCCATTTCGCCACCATAAGGTTTATGGCCAGGCGCTTTAGTCAGAACTTCGTTTACTGCCTCGATGTAGAACGTCCTGTCTGCTATTTCTAGAGACTTATTTCTCGTTCTAGGCACTCGATACTCCGGATGCAGTGGGTCGTGCCTGGACTGAGAACAGATGTTCACCTGGGAGATCTGGCCGTCGGGGCAGCTGGTGTATACGACTTCGTCCTGGTTATTTGTGATGGTAATGGTCAGGCCAAAGAGCCATTCCGCCAAAGCTCCTATCCACCTGGCCTCCTTGCCACCATGTATGGTAATGGATACCCACCCATGTTTTGTGATCTTCCCGATGGCGTTCAGAACCGTGGCAATATCAGTTGGGTCTGCGGGTTTGTCACTGTTTTCCAATCCCATCAATTTCTCTGCCCGTACAGAGAAGATCGTCGTTGACAATATTCCAGCACAAGACTTGATAAGCGCAAGCCATTCGCCAACGGAAGGAGTCATGTCGAGATTGCTGTCTAACAACACCATGTCGTTCAATATCTCTGCTGCGGTTTCATGCGGGAAACATTCTGCCAAAGCAGCACACAAAGCTACCAAGGTGGTGCCCTGCTCTGTCGTCCCTATTGCCCTTGCAGGATGCTTTACCCCGAAGCCGAACCAGAGCACATTCTGAAGTCCTGCATATGCATTCATATTGTCCAAGGCCTTCTGCATGTTGACCCGGCCTTTGCTGGATAGTCGAAACTGACTGCCGAGAGCGTGTCCGACGGCCACAGTATACGGATCCAAGCTTGAGCCGGAGAGACGCTGAAGTATCTCCTTGCTGATGTAAAGAAAGCCACCAGAGAGCGCAACCCAATCCACAGAGCCCTGCTGCGAAAAGTTGCTGGAGAGTTGGAGAGCCATCTTGGCCTGCTTTGGGAAATCGTCTGCGATTTCACCAAATAATCACTGGAAATAAACCACACAGGAAAAAGAGCCGTATTAAATAACCCCTCACCATTTTATCATCTAGCCTCGCCACGACTGTTTGTTGGTTATGCGCACTGAAGCGCTCCAAGTCTGCCTAGGATTGGCCAAGCAGCGTTTCGGATATGCACCTTCTCCTGTAAATAGTCATTCCTTGAAAAGAGGGGACACTCAAAATCCCCAGAGTCGCATTACCGATGGAGAGCCTGATACGCATTGAATCATTCTAGTCCACTTGTTTGCTATGAACTAGGCATCTGAAGGGTTGCCTACCGGGCCGCTGTCGGGAACACTTGGTCATTGGCAAGGCACGTTTGCACAGCCCCGAGGCTGGTCGACGGGCCGCATGGCTCCCGTCAGTATCCAAAGATTTGTCTGGCACGGCACTGGAAGGCGTGGAACCGGAGTTCGTGGGCCAAACTTACCGTTTGAGGCCCATGAAGCCTTCTGGATTGATGGGAGCTCACGATTACCACGACAATATCTCGAAGACTTCCACTACCCGCACCACTAGCCTATCCATGCCAGGGACAAGTTGATCAACAATTATGCTTGAGGCGAAGGTAGTTTAGCCGAGTATAATCTGTTGCTTCTCATTCATTACTTCTACATACTCTCCTTGCTCATCTTGGCACATCCATCCTCTGGTATAAAAATCCCCCAATGACGGGGGTATATATGTAGATGCAAATCAGCCTCTGTGGAATCCATCCGTCCTATGGAAGTAAAAAAATATTGTGAATAAAACGCCCCAGCACCATCTTTCCCATCCGATCCCCATTCCCGCCATGCTGTATACAAAAGCCGCGGTGCATTTTGCCGCGCTGCCCAGGAACCCGCTCGTTTGTTCCAGGCCCCCAGGAGAAGTACGCGAACCCTCCCGTTTGCCTCCAGCTCATCATTTCCTATTCACAGACTTGCCATCTCCATCTCATCATGATAGACCCCACATACTCAGTAGTAGTATGGGTGTGAGGACAGCCACCGAGATAGTTATTGACAAATCGGCGCCGGAAATTTGCGACGTGAAGACATTGTTGAAGCCGATGTCGCTGCTATTGAAGCAGTTTGATTTGTTGACCTCTGCCACGTGCTCAGGCTCTGCGAATATGATGTCGACGCACTGATATCCGTTAGTTATTACTCCTTGCTCCAGTATCAAACGTAGCAGCTCCTCACATTGAATAGACTCGCCCCGTGCTGTGCTGTCATCACGACCTGAATCGTTGCCAGATCTCCCGCCTTGACGGTCGCGTTCGCCGGCAGCGGGATCTGCGGCAGACAGAAGGTGCCCGGGTAAGGTCCGTTCGAGGGTCCTGTGAACTCAAAGACGGGGACCATGATGTTAGAGAAGTTATCAGGGCCATTGTCAGGGCCACTGGTGCCAAAGCCCATATTGACGTAGAAGAAGCCCTTGGAGTGCCCTTGGAACCAGCCCGGCTGCACGGCGAGAGCACCGCCGCCTATGGGCCAGGTGGTGCGGTTGCGTGAGGTACCCATTCCGCCGCCTGGAGAGGAAGTTAGCAGTCGTTTGGCAAAGGCTGAGATGCACGAAGTAAATGAGATTGCGCTTTGGCTACACAGTCGAAGCATTGCGCTTCAAGACGCTGCGTAGGTAGTCCAGTTGAGCTTGCATATGCCCACTGCGAACATCTCTTGCGCTGTTCGCAAAGGTATATCGCAAATACAAGAAATTGGGACCAGGACTACTCACAAGGATACATCCATTGCATGCCGAATGGAAACGTCGCATTTGTAACCAAGTTGTCTCCTCTCCAGCCCGGATACGAGACCACAGTGTGTCCGTTCACTAATGACAGATATATCGCCAGAACCGAAAGTATGAAGTAGAACATGGTGGCCGATGTGGAACAGAGATTTTTGTGCGCAGAGAACAATGGCCAAGATGCGCAGCAACTTAGCTATTCGGAGACAGGGTTACTCTCTCTCTCGCCCTGCTGTCGACAATCGTACTTTTTGTGAAGTTGCGAAGGTGATCAACGGAAGTGGCTCAGCGTCGACGATGTAGGTCTCTCAGTCAGTCGCCCATCAGACCTCTCGAGTCCAGCGCTGGGGGCCAGAGAGCCTTTTAGGCCATGCATCACGCACGGCACCACACCTCTTCCCTTTCCTCCCACCATTGACAGCGGGCGGTTACAGTGACGACAGCACAGCCAGTCAGCGTGCAGCGTGTGGTGCCTCACACGCAGCGGATGATCGCGTCCCTGCCGCCCCATTGGCGTGGGCGCTCACTAGTGTAGTAAGCACGCTGGATGGTGAACAGGTGCAGGGGCGGCAATGGTGGCGGCGAGTGGCTGGCTATTGTGCGATACGGGTACACACCCGGCGAATCAGGGCGGCGCGCTGGGGTCCGGCACATCAGTAGTGCAAGGGGCTTCGTCCAGTGGTTATCCATGTCTACGCGCCGGACAACATATCACTTGGTTCTTGCGAGGAATTTTCATTGTTTGCTCCCATGTCGTGTTCGGATGTACTCCGTACAAAGAAAATGTATCCTCGTACAGGCGGCCTCACGGCGGTGGCCTTGATGTCGACGGCCAGACTGTAAGTTGCATATTAGACTTCTGGCCGCATCGTGAACCCATCGTCGTTATTGGCATTTCCATTTCCATTTCTTGTACTTGGCAGATGGTCAGAGCCCACGTCCTGTACCGACATACATATGTACCATATGCTGTCCTCCCTTGGATCTATCTGTCTTTTCCGAACCGCCCATCCCACCTCATCCCACCCCATCCCGTAATCCCCAAACCGAATAATGTAACACCTCCGAATGCTCTAGTGTTGCGAAATATCGATAAAAGTCAAGCGTTCCATGGAGTCTCGAACACTGCCAGGCGCCTACGACGTGATGGCCGGCCAAGCGCTTCGAGATACAGGAACAGGAACGGTTTTGCAACCATTTTAGCCTCTTCGGAGGTAATTGTTGTGCTGGCAAGCTCCAGGAATATTGAGCTACCGTTAACATGGCACAGCGTCTCATCTAGGAACAGATATCAAGCTGGACATCCGATGGATGTTACAGACACCGTCCATGATATCCTTACCCATCACAAACCTGTTTCGCGTATGGTTTAGTTGCAGTCACGTGGATAGATGGCGAGTACATGGCTTTCACAACATTACTGTTCTCAATTATCGACCATAGCAGAACAAATCTGTAATATCTGATTTCGCCCAACCAATCCTGTCCTACTCCTTAATCCGCTACTTGGAATATGCAATGAGTCCGCTCACCTTCCGACCTAAATTACAACCAATGCCCGCCGTGGGCACTTCCAGATCTCATGCTGACGCTACTATGCTTGTCCCAATACTCCCACACGACACCCTGGTCCGCATCTCTGGTAGCAGGACCCTCGAGGTCCGTTTCGCCAATTTCAATGGAACCAATATCTGGGAAGCAGCTCCCCCTTCGTGTCGCGGCACGACGCCCTCACTAGTGTTTGACTACTTCACGTCGTGAGCAGGCTTCATACCTCTTTCTCGGCACGCCAGAGGCCGAATGGCCCGGCACAGTTCTTCCACATCTTTATGGTTCCATCCTCGCTACCTGTAGCATAGAGCTTGCCGTCGGGGGAGAAGCTAATGCTCCAGATGGGGCCGTGATGACCCTTATGAACATCTTGATTGATATTAGCACGTCTCAATATCAGAGGGTTCGATTGGCTACTTACCAAGTTCCTGCTCGGTGTCATAGTTGTACACCTTCGCCCAGGTGTCCTTGATCCCGCCAGTCACAAACTTGCGCTGCTTCGGGTGGATAGCGACGCTGGCGACGTCATATGGAAGATTCACCGACTTCAGCAGATGCCTTGCATCCGCGCCGCCATAGAAATAAACGGTGCGGCCGGCCGCAATAGCCAGGACGGGCATGCCGCCTCCGATATCCGCGGAGTCGGCGCCGGCGGAAAGCATGTTGAACTCGCAGGAACCAATGTCGCCTTTTACCGGCAATTCCTGGATGACCACCCTGTTCTGCAAGTCCCACCAGCGGATTATCTTGTCGTCGGCAGCTGTGACGAGGATATTTGGGTCGTGGGTCCAGATGATGGCTTTGATAGCCCCCTTGTGGACATCTGGGCCAATTTCGAAGCCCTTATCCGCTGAGATAATAGTTGGATCTGAAGAGTCGCCGTTTGTTGGGGCGCCATTTGTAATTGGCGTTACGCTCGAGAGGTCGAAAATGCGCAGCTTCTTCTCCATACCGCCCGTCGCAAGAAGTTGGCCATTATTTGGAGGGAATGCGACAGCGCGAACAATGTGGTTGTGCTGAAGTGTGTAGAGAGTTTCGCCAGTGTGTGTATCCCATACTCGTCTGTCAGGAAATCATGTGTTAGCAATGTGATGTTTTTTTGGAAAGGTAGGATTCAAACTTGCGCAGTGAAGTCTGCTGATGCGGTAGCAGCTAGAGATGCATCCGGTGATAAACGAGCCTGGTACACAGCGCCTTTGTGGCCAAAAAAGGTTCCAATCCTGCATGAATTAGTTTTCAGTCTTTATATTTCGTGCAGGATGACGAACCAATCTCCGGTCATGCCATCCCTCAGCATTGGGTTGTTATCTTCATTGTGTCAGCATGGACTCCCCCTCACGTCAGAGTGGCGGTGGCGCCTACCTTTGCATGCTGAGATCAAGTAGTATTCCTCGCGGTTGTCGCCAACAATGCCAGAAAAGCTCAGATGCGTAACAGGGCGTGAATGGCCATGGCAAGTAAGGGGGACGTATTGTCTGGAACTCTCACTGGCAGCCATAATGGTTTGCGCCGTTGACTCTTGGAATCGGAAACTGTCGCGGTTTGAAGGAGTGACTTGAAGCTAGATCGTCGCAGATATTTCAATCCGAAATCTGAATAGATCAGACAAAATCCAAAGCAGCTAGACTCTCTCCAATTTGATATGAAATGGTGTGCGGTGTTTGTTGCTGTTCGACAAGAGAGGCGTATCTCAATGACAAGGAAGATTCGTGATAGTCGTTAAAATGGTCGTTATGAGGATTCCCCTGCACGTCTATACAAAGTATAATGAGTATTTGAAAATGTCGTTAGAGATCTGCAAAGGGGGCAAATCTGGTGTATTTCTGAGGAGACTCGCAATGATTTAATATTGAAATGAAAGTGAACATCAAACTTGTTGACGCGGACCAAGGCGACAATGTCGAGACGCGCTAAAAAGGATTGATTGCGGGACATTTGGTGTGGGGGGCGAGAAGAGGGGGGTGTTTCCGGTGAAACTATATTCCGAGTATAGCTCCCTTGGTGGTCAGTGGTCGTCATGGTTGGCTTTGTCAACAGATGGCATTAGAAGTCCACAGAAGAACACCAACTTTGACAACACAACGTTTCATGACAGCTCAATAGGACTGGTGGTAGTTGACTTTTGACTTGAAATTCAACCCTTGGTTTTTTAAACTCTGCAATTCATAGCGATGGGCGATTACAAGTTATCTGCGAGCTTGGCGGGGCACGATGATGATGTAAGTCCTCCTTGTTGGTGCACTCGTCTCCCTTGGGGAAAGACAGTGGAAGACTTTTTGAAGACTTCTGTTGTTGAAATATAGATATGGGCTATTTCTGACTGCTTTTAAAGGTCCGCGCCGTCATATTTCCGTATCCGAATGAGCTGGTATCCGCATCCAGAGATGGTACGGTCAGGGCATGGAAGATGATTGCCGAGCCTTTGGCAACTTTCGAAGATACCATAATACAACATAGTTCATCCTTTATAAATGCCCTTGCATACTTACCACCCTCCGAGGAACATATACAAGGCCTGGTTGTCTCTGGGGGGAAAGAGACCATCATCGAAGTCAGGCAACCGAAACGCCCCGCCGAGGAGTCGGCAGAGGCACTGCTACTTGGACACGCCAACAACGTCTGCGCTCTAGATGTCGGACCAGACGGAAAGTACATAATAAGCGGTGGATGGGATTCCCAGGCTCGTCTGTGGTCGGTCGGGAAATGGGAGACTGAAGTTCAATTCGAAGGTCACCAAGGGTCGGTTTTGGCGGTCCTGGCCTATGACTCGGAAACCATTATTACGGCATGCGCAGACAATCTCATTCGGATATTCCACATTTCTGGAAAACTGCTTAAGACGGTTAAGGGCAGCACTGACGTCGTTCGTGCTCTCTGCAAGGTCCCCAAAGGCCATCCTTCGGGGGCTGACTTCGCATCTGCTGGAAATGACACCATAATCCGACTATGGACGTTGGCAGGGAACCAAGTTGGCGAGCTTCTTGGACACGAAAATTTTATCTACTCATTGGCATCAATACCAACAGGCGAGCTTATAAGCTCTGGCGAAGACAGGACGGTCAGGATATGGAAGGGCGCAGAATGCGTCCAAACTATTACACACCCCGCAATATCCGTGTGGAGCGTCGCAGCAAACCAGGACACTGGAGACATCGTCACGGGAGCCAGCGATCGTATTGTACGCATATTCACCCGAGAAGAGCTACGGATGGCAAATGACGAGGCAATTCAAGCCTTTGAGGAATCCGTCAGGTCTTCGGCGATACCACAAGAAGCGGCTGGCGATATTAACAAGGAGTCGTTACCTGGACCAGACTTTTTGCAAAACAAATCAGGGACGAAAGAAGGACAGGTGCAAATGATAAAGGAAAATAACGGTTCCATCACGGCGCATCAATGGTCAGCTAGTCAGGGGCAATGGATAAACGTTGGCACCGTCGTCGATTCTGTGGGCAGCAGTGGAAAGAAGACCTCATACCTGGGGAAAGACTACGATTGTGTCTTTGATGTCGATGTCGAGGAAGGAAAGCCGCCTTTGAAACTTCCATACAACTACTCTCAAAACCCGTACGAGGCAGCACGCAAGTTCGTGGAAGACAATAAACTACCCATGGCATACCTCGATCAGGTTTCAGACTTCATCACGACAAATACGAAAGGAGCGACACTCGGCCCAACTGAGAACCAGGGGCCTGCCCCTGCTGGTGCGGATCCATGGGGAAGCGAGAATAGATATCGCCCAGGTGGTGGATCGGGGCCGTCCGCGCCGCCTGCCGCGCCAAAGATCCTGCCTCAGAAGGAATATCTCAATATCCTAGTTGCCCGAGTTGACATCATGGAGAATAAGATCAAAGAGATCAACCGCGAACTCATCGACTCTGGCTCCAAGGCCGTTTCTCTGAATCCCGAAGAGCTTGAGGTTCTCTCCGCCCTGCGTTCTCACCTTGAAGCTGCTGGCTCCACGTCAACCTCCCAAGACGTAACTGGCGGCCTCGATATCGCCATCAAACTGGCCAAGGACTGGCCATATGCCAAGCGGCTGCCTGGCCTTGACCTTCTCCGCCTGCTAGCTGTCGCGCCCAACACTGCAACTTATCAGAGCCCACGTGGCGCCGACATAATCGAGATACTCGAATCAAGCGTCAGCGCCGAGCAGCCCCCAGCCGAGAACAACGTCATGCTTGCCGTCCGCGCGTTTGGCAACCTGTTCGCCTCCCCGGAGGGCCGGCGGCTGGCCTCTCACGAGTTCGACCGGATCTTCTCCATCTCGTCGAAGTCACTCGAGGGGAAGACGACGAATCGGAACCTACTCGTCGCCGTGACGACCCTAGCGATCAACTACGCAGTTCTGGTGACTTCTTCGGAGGATGCGGCGGAGGTAAGCTCTGCGACAAGGTTTGAGCAGTCTGTTGCATGGCTGGAATGCTTGGCCGGGATCCTTAATGAGCAGAAGGACTCGGAGGTACTATATCGGACGATGATTGCAACGGGGACGCTGTTGGGGTTCGGTGATGAGGTGAGGACTGCTGCGAAGGAGGTGTATGGGGTTGATAAGGCGGTAACCAAGGCGCTTGGGAAGGCGGTAGACCCGAGGATTAAGAATGTGGGGAGGGAAATTAAGGAGCTGTTGAAGTGAGGATTTGAAAGGAGAGCGAGCTCCGCCGGTTGTGGTTGCTGGTGGTGAAATGATGTGAGTAAGCAGCCATTTAAACTTACAAACCGTGGCTTTGATGAATATTAAACGAAAGCGCAGACTTTATTCAAAACGTATGTACTGAATTTACCACGATTATTTGAAATGATAATATTATAAGGAATGTGATAGAATGTATGGAAATGTACGTAGAATAGAATGGAAACGTTGCCAAGACCCGGAACCGGACTAACCCTATCTGGGACTGCTTACATGATTCACCCCACATTCGGGCTTTCGGATTTATGATGCACATAAATAACTGTTTAGAGGATACTGATGTAAGACATCGATGGTCCTCCATAGTTTCAGGTACGCATAATAATATCGATGTAATGTCTATTATGATGGAATAAGTATATATATCTCCTTCTTCTCCTACGTTTTTTCATTCTTTATCTCAATTCACAATACAACCAACAGCAATAACATCTGTACCAATTCCACATCTTCATTGACCCCGCATTCAAGCTTCATAGCTCCAACTATTCACACAGTTCTCACCCGCCAAAACTCACAACACACTTAAAATGGCCTCAGACGGAAAGAAAACCATTGTTGTCTTCGGCGCAACCGGTGCTCAGGGCGGCTCCGTCATCAAATCCATCCTCGGAGACTCCAAAGCCGCAGCACAATTCAAGATCCGCGCCGTAACTCGCGACCCCTCCAAGCCCAGCGCCAAGGCACTCGCCGACCAGGGCTGCGAGCTCGTTACTGTATGTTTATCGACTACACCATCATGTTTTTGGGTTGATGCTAACAAGTAGCAGGCGGACCTGAACAACGAGAGGGATGTTGCGCGCGTGCTCAAGGGAGCTTACGGCGCCTTCGCTGTGACCAACTTCTGGGAGACTGGAGACCCAGACGTCGAGCTCAAGCAGGGAAAGAACGTAGCTGATGCCGCAAAGGTAAGTTTCAACCACTCATTGGTTTCTGAGACCCGTTTTAACGAGAACAGGAAACCGGATTGCAGCACCTGGTCTGGAGCTCCCTGATCAACGTCACTAAGCGTAAGTATCTCAGTCACCCACTCACTTTACCAATGCAATAAGCAGCTAACACCCCCCAGTCACCAAGGGCGTCCTCTCCAAGGTCTCCCACTTCGACTCCAAAGCCGCCGTCGAGGAATACATCCGCTCGATCGGCATCAACGCCTCCTTCTTCCGCCCCGGCTACTACATGTCCAACCTCCTCCAAGGAGGCATCGTACCCAACGGCGACGGGACCTACTCCGTCCCCCTCCCCATCCCCACCAACGCGCCCATCCCTCTCTTCGACACCACCGCCGACACTGGGAAGTTCGTCAAGGCCATCTTCCTCGCGGGCGACAAGACGTTCGGGAAGACGTACGACGCTGCTGTGGCGTACGTGACAACCGCTGAGATCGCAGCGGAGTGGAGTGCGGTGACGGGCAAGAAGGCGCAGGCGGTTGTGGCGGATCCTAAGGCTTGGAAAGCGCAGCTGACAAGCTATGGGTTGAGTGAGGAAGCGGCGGAGGAGCTGTACCAGAATATGAGGTTGATGGATGAGTTTGGATACTACGGCGGTGCGCCGCTGGAGGAGAGCCAGAAGGTGAGTTTTACGCTCAATTTAATGTGCGGGGCGAAGGCTAATGTGTGAATAGATTCTGGATGAGAAGTTGACGACCTTGGAAGGGTTTATTGGCAAGCAGGACCAGTGGAAGAACTTATAATGTGCATCTATGGGTGCTTTGTGGTATACCTTAGCTCAATCTCATAATAATAATAAGTCCAAGCAATAAAAACTATTCGTCAATTATCAATAAAGTAAATGCCTAGCATGTAATAACGTTACGACCAGTCCCATCATATTTCGTACGGGTTACACGAACCCCCCCATTTTTAAAACCGCCTTAATAATAAAATGCCCTCACATTCGGAGCCCATCCATCCACCCTCGATTTCCATGTAACAACCACAATTCCCCACCCCCACCCATCACCCAACACACTCCCTAACCACCTCCCCCGTCCACCCCACCCTTGCAAACTCCCTCAAACTCTCCACATGCACCGCATGCACAATCTCCGCCTTCCACCCCCCCCTCACCTTCTCCCAACACGCCGTCGCATCCCCCACCAACACCACCTCCCCCCTCCCCCACTCCCCATCCACAACCCCCAGATTCCCCGCCATCCGCACACTAGTACTGACACAGTGATCCGTCGTCAGCCCCGCGACGTACAACCTCCTCGTCCTCGCGTCTCGCAACATGTTTTCGAGATCTGTGCCGATGAAGGCGCTGTTCACATTCTTCGTCACGATGTGCTCCCCGGGTATCGGCGCGGTATAGGGCATCCATGCGAACCCCGCCGCGTCGGGGTGTAAAGGTGACTTCGGGTCCTGAGAGGCGTGGCGTACGTGTATTATCTCTGGTCCGGCGCCGGGGTGCGCTAGGCGCAGAGCGCGGAAGTGGGAGAGGAGGGTGGCGACGTTGGTTTCGTAGCTGGGGTTTGAGCGTGCAGGGCCCCAGTGCGTGGGGTGTGTGAAAGCGGCTTGTGAGTCGATTAGGAGGAATGTCGTGGCAGTTAGCGGTGGTGGAGGGGGTGTGCCGGACTCTCGCTCTTGAGTTGATGTGATGTCATCTGCTAGTGGAGAAGTTTGTGCAGGAGGAGACGCATGTGTCTGCAGCGCACTTATAGGAGCGGATGCATCCCTATCCACCTCCCTTGTCCTCGCATTCGTCGGCGTCGGCGTCGGCATCGACGTCTCCATCCAGGGCCCCGACCCCGGCAAAAGCTGCTCCTGCCACCTCTCCGCCCCCTCCACACCACTCGACGGCGTACCACCCGTTCCATGTTCTCGCGCCTGCCTCTCCGCCGCCCCATACCGTGTCCCTCCCAGCTCATATGACTTGGACGCATTCTTCACATCAGCGCGGGTGATATACTTCCCACCCACCGCAATAAGAGTCTCCATATCGGCTTTCATGGCATTGGCCACCTCATACGGCTGGGCCCGAGCCGCCTCCCTGGCTGCGATGCGGCGGATGGCGCTGCTTCGTTTTTGCTTGTCCATATCATCAAGAGTATGCGTGTGCGTCGCCTCCGAGCACCTCTCTATACTAACCGTCCTCTCCTCGCCCTCAACATAGCGATTCCACACCAGCTTCAGCCCGACGAGACATGTGGCCCCGGGCCGGCCGCGGCGGGCAGTGGGGGTGACGGGCGCGGTGATGGGGTGTTTGCGCCGGTTACGGCATTCCCAGAGCTCGTAGCCCAGCTTCCGCCCGGTGGCGGCACGCGTCTTCTTGCGGACGTAGACGTTGTCGATCCACGGCCAGAGAGACAAGAAACGCGAGGTGGAGAGGGTGAGGGGGGTGAGGGTTAGGTCGAACAGTTGTTGGCGGGTGAGGGACATTTGGGCGGGGGTGAGAGAGAGGGGGGTTTGGATTATGGGGGTAGAAAGAATTGGGGGTGCGGGGTCGGTGAGGGGGACAGAGTCCGGGATAGGGGCGGGGGAGGTCATTGTGAGAGTTGATGTTGATGGGGTGGTGGGTGGGAATTTTTGAGCGGGGTGGAGGGGCAGCGAGGGCCCTTTGGACGGGTAATGGGTGGGTATCCCTCTGGTCCGGAGGAATATGGAATGGGTGGTTGTTCGAGTGTCCAAGAATTGATAGCTGTGTGGTTTTATGGATGTGTGGACGTTTCAGTTAAGGGGTGGGTTGGTTGAAGTGGTGGGCGCTTGAAAATTGGTGCCTGAGGCTTATAACAACCCTCGACAGATATAGATGGGAAGTCTGGTCGTTGTTGTTAAGTAAATGAGATTCACAGACTATAGAAGAGGCCGGGAATTGTTTTCTCATTTGGAAGGATTTGAGGTGTTGATAGATTTTTATTTATTTATGTTGAGGATTTATATTAATATCCCCGAAATATTTTATGAAAACTATTATACCCATTTCCCCCTTTCGAAACCCCCAGCACCCTCATGACCAACACAAATCCCTCCCCTAAACTCCCGCTTCAATAATCAAAATCCTCCCACATCACCCTCTCCCACTCCAGCCACTCCAAAACCTTACTCCTCAACGGCTTCCCCGCACAAAGCATCCACCTCGCTCCCCCTTTCTCCCCCACCAAATCCTCCTTCTCAATCCTCCTCTCCCAAACTACCCCTCCATCCTTCACAATCCTCCCCAACACCTCCCCTTTATCCACTCTTCCCCCCAACCCGCCTTCTGCACTCACACCCGTGATAAACAACTTCAGTGCTGCACCTAGCCCTTCGATCTTCTCTAATGCATCTGCCACGAGCCCTAGATCTGCTTCTCGTACGGTCCAGAAGAGCGTCACCCCCTTATCGACCTTCAAGCCCATCAGGGCAAGGAAGGGGGTGATACCGACTCCACCGGCGATATACACCGTCTTCTCCCTTACCCCCTCGGTAGACTCATCCACAAACTCCCCTCCAAATCCCGACACCGGGATCGTAAGTCCCTTCTTCCCCCCATCCCTCTTAAACAAAAACCCCGTCACGCGTCCCACCTTCCGGATCGTGATCTCAAACTCCGCAGCCGCTGATTCCGCCTCCACCGAAGGCGGAGAAGACGACACCGTAAATGTCCTCACTAAATCATCATTCAAGCTCTGCGGATCCTCATCCCTCATATGACTATACCCCATCCCCAACTCATCGCTAAAATCGAGTACGACATACTGCCCCCGTTTCCAATTCGCAGCTTTATCGAGCCGGAACCGGAAGCGCGATATGCTTGGCGAGAGGCTTGTCTGGGAAAGAAGTGTTGCGGTGCCTGCGGCCCCGGGCTGGGATGTAGCGCCGGCGGGCTGCTCGGTGGCGAGGAGGCGGACGCGCGGGTTGTAGGGGGATGGTTCGATTGGGGTGGCGCGGAAGGGGAGGAAGGTGGCGATGAAGCGGTGTTCGGTGGCTGTGAATTTTATAGCGAGGTTGGTGTGCGGGAGGATTGCGGAGGCGGCGGGGCCAATGAGGATGTCCACTCGACCAGTTAAGTACAGCGCGTTCCCTGTTGCGAAGTCGGGGATGAGCAGCGAGGCGAGGGGGGAGAGACGGTAGTTCCCGAGGGTTTGGTAGAGGTTGTTACCGGAGTATTCGGGGTAGACGAGGGTTAGTTCCGTTGAGGTGTTGGTGAGGATGCGGATGAAGCCCGGGGGACCGCCGCGGTGGTTTGTGGAGGGGGAGGTGGGGTGGGAGGAGGAGAGGAAGAAGAGGTCCGCTGCGTGGACGAGGGAGATGGCGGCGGGGGGGAGGGGGAGGGAGGTGGAGAGGAGGGAGGGGGTGGGGAGGGCGGGGGTGATGGTTTTGCGGTTGAGGTATTTGGGACAGTTGCCTGGAGAGTGTTAGTATTTATATTTCAATCTATCAAATCAGAGGGTTGCAGGGGAGTACGCACCTAAACTCGTCTCAATCTTCATCACCAGTTGCACTTCCGCTGCACCACTGTCCTTCTCAGGCTCCTGCAGCGCACCAGCTATCATACGGCCCGCAAACTTTGCTCGCAGCCGCGACTCGAGATCGATGGCCAGGCCACTCATCAGCGCACCCTTCTCGCCCCCCTGCACCACCTCTCCCGGCGTCGCAGCACCAAGCAGGATCTCCATGACGGGGTCATGTGTGCGCGCAATACTCGACTTGATAGCGATGACAGACGGGGCGATGGAACGCGCGAAGGCTGGCTCGCCTCCCCATAGTGTGGTCCAAGGGCGGCCTTGCTCGTCCAGGGCGCCGAGGGCGATGAGTGGGGAGCGCTTGAGGACGCTGGCGGCGAAGGGGGAGAGGAAGGGCTGGGTAGGGTTGTCTCTGTCGGGGATGTGGAGGGTGTGGTGGAGGCTGGTCTCGCCCTCGTGGAAGGGGAGGACTTCGTGAATGGACATCTGTTGTTGCTGGGGGCGTGGGGTATATGGTATGTGCGGCGGCGGTAAGGGGGTTGGCGGAGGCCAGGTGAGGAAGGTTATTATGTGGAGGAGGAGGGTGATGCAAGTATCTATAACATACTACAATATCAAAGAAGAGAATATATAAGTTACAAAATAAGGATAACTTATGAATATATCAAGACATGATAATCAACAGTAGACGCAAAGGTTTGATATGATATTATAGAGGCATTCTTTTAGAAGTTACCAGTACTTGGCCTTCGTATTCCATGCATAATCACGTGATCAAAGGTAAGTTAATCTTCTGTTGAGAATATCTTGGGATTGACTCGACTACCCTATCCTACGGAGGGGATAGGCCCCATTTTAGTACTGTATTCCCACCGGTTGTGCTCGGTAATCCCACGGTAGGTTCCGGGCTACGGCACCATTCTCATTTATCCCCAACACTCCCCTTGCCAAAGCCTGGAAGCCTACCAATGCGTAGCTGAAGCTGAAGCCCGAACTATAGCCATACCGGCCCCCTCTGGCGACAGATTCCCTCTTCCCCCTGGTGTAGGCAATGGCCCTGTTCCTAGCCCCCCCCCCTTATTCTTCAGCTCTGGGTGTAGCTCAAAGCACCGATCGCGCCGGTGGCCTAGCTTCCCGCAGTGCCAACACGCACCGGGTGCTCCCCTATCCCCCGTTTCAGCCCTATTAGAGCTCTTGTAAACAGGGGCCTCCCCTATTCTTCCTACTTCGTCTGCAAGTAGACCTGTAAGAGCATCGAAAGTAGGGGGCACCTCAGCGTGAGTAATCACTGCAACGAGAGTGTCGAACCTCTTTGGCAGCCCCTGTAAAGCTACTGTAACGAGCAGCTCGTCGCTCACTTCTGCCCCTGATTCCCGTAGCTCTAGAGCTATTTTCCTCACTTTATCCAAGTATCCAGGGGTCGTACTCGAGGGCCCCTTTCCCACATCAAAAAGCCGTTGCCACATATTATAACGGGCTATAAACCCAACTGTAGAGAAGACCTCTCCGAGCTTTGCCCATATTATAATAGGGTCTCGGACAGTGTTCCCCAAATAGTATTTGAGTATTTTGAGTCTCAACTGTAGTATATAGTAATGAAATATGATAACTGTCTACTCACTATTATCCTCCTCCTCGTCGCCTATAACCCCCCAATCCCGTAGGCAGAGTAGATATCGAAGAGTTGAAGGTAATAACCTGTTCCTTTTCTTTGTGACTATATCACCGCTGACACTAAATATACGCTCTGACACTGCCGATGAGGCTGGAATTGCCAAATAGTCCCGTGTGATCCGTGATATAACTGGATACTGATACTGCTTTGCCTGCCAATATTTGAGGATATTAGTATTACGGTCGACACCATTCTCTTTGAACCATCGTCACCACTCAACTTCCTCAATAGAAGGCCCACGATGCTGATACATCTCGTCGTCGGAATCAAGTTCTCTTAGAGTCGTTGGCTGCTCAGTTTCGGCAGCAATAGTAGCTTCAATAGCAGCAACCTGTATATCGTTCTCACAGTCTTTATACCAGTTATAGCAAGCTGCGAACTGTGCTCTTGCCCTATCTCGTTTTACAGCGTCTATACTATTTGGCATATAAAATTCGTATATACTTGAGTTGAATCTTGGGTCGCAGATAGTAGCAATTGATGAGTGGCTTGAGCCTTGATTTGTCACAAGGTTATAATAAGTATCAAGCTTATTATACGACGCTTTACAAGCTGCGCTAATTGCTGCTGTTGTTGATGGAGCGTTTTCCATTGCCTTAAGCTTATTTAAAAGCCGTAGATAGTGAATACAGACGTTCAATGTTGGATAATTATCTGCTTGAACTTGCTCTGCTGGTTTGACGAATATCTTAAAGAACGCCTTTAGTCCATGTAACACTTGCCATTCTATTGATGTAATAATAATATCAAAAATCCATCATTTGCGAAGCACATAAAGCATTGATCGGCTGCTCAAGCTTCAAAGCGTTCTCAAGCATATAATATGTTGAGTTCCATCATACAGACATATTGAGGGACATTGAAACCACCTGAATACCCATAGCAGATGCTTGTACTTTCAATGCATCTTTTCATGCTCGACAGTTCCAGAACACATAGATATGCTGACGTAGTTTTATAAGAACCGTTGCCACTTCTTCTTTATTAAGAACGAAGCCTTGAGTATGAGCTAAGCCTTGCTTAAGCCTATACAATTCCGTTTGTTCTGATGGTACAGCTTTTAACATAGTTAAAGCTGCTTGAACCGCAAGGTTTATAATGTGTGCCATGCATTGGACGTCGCCTTCCTTTACTGTAAAGCTCCATGGTTGCTGTATAGAAACGACGCTCGTGCATGCCCCTATTTCAAACTTTGCGAGCATTGCTGTATTGTTCGATGCATTGTCTCTAGTAATTGTAAAGACTCCGTTCGTAATACCAAAGTCGTCCGTAACAGCTTGAAGCTGCTCTGCAAGATATTTACCAGAATGAATGGGCTCCTTTAGATGTATGATATCAAGAACACAGTGCCAGTGAACCCATTCTTTATTTATCCAATGAACAGTTATCGCAGCGTGCTCTGCACCATTCATTGCAGACCATGAATCAGTCGTAAGTGATAACTGTCCGCCCTTTACTATATGAGCCTGGAGTTCTATCTGTAGCTTCATACAGTGGTTGCAGAATGTCTTGTGTAAATCGCGCATTAAGGAGCTTGTTGATATAGCTAACGTTGAAGGGCTAAGCTGGTGAATAAGCTGACGAAACGAAGGCTGATCAACCAGACTCATTGGTAAGTTATTAGATACAATAAATGCAAGTAATAACTCTCTATATTGAGAGGCAAGAACGGATCCTCCTACTCAAGGAGTAAAGAATTGTTGGGCGTTTCGGGCTGTTCTCATATTCGGAGCGCCCTGCGAATCCTGCGAACTCTGACTCTGCGAACTCTGAGCACGCTGTAGCAATGGAGTTCCTGGTTTTATAGCTTCGTATAATGCAGGATGCATGCTTTCAACATGCCTTCACAAATTACTCGTGATATTCCATGATAAAAGCTTCGGTTTTGGCTTATAATTACAGCCATCTTGCATACAGACAATCTTTATCGTTGCAGGGCTGGTGCTTAACAATGTTCTACTGAATACATTCTTTAAGAACAACGGTGACTGAGTATTTGGGAGTTGTGGCCGTATTTGTAGTAATGGTAGAGCTATCGACGGCGAAGACTCGAATGGAAAAGGGGGTGGTAGACGCTGAATTTCCTTATCTTCGTCACTTGGAATTGCTGATAGCTCAGAGTCGCTCATTCTGGTAGAAATATCAATTGGTATATTATCTATGGATCTATTTCTACGGATCTATCTATGAGGGCGGGGTAAAATCTTCGTAGCTTGGAATCCTGGGCCGTGCTTGCCAAGGACTTGAATAGTATTTGAGTCTTTGGCAAATACTCGCCGAATACCCCAATTTTAGCCCGAATACTGCTCATCGCCAAATACTATTTGAAAACCACAAATACTAATACTATTTTGGGGAACACTGGTCTCGGAGGTCTCTCACATATAGCTCAGCTTCTTCGGATAAGTAGAGGAAAATTGTAGCAGCCGCCCGCTCAGCATCATCGTCGTAATCAGCTTGCGCCTTCATATCGGATTCTGGCTTTATTCGTCGCCTGCAAACGATGCTCCATAACCTCTCTCGGGTGAGAACCATCTCAATCCTCGACTTCCATAGCGTATAATTTGATGCTCCCTTAAGCATCGGCTCTCAAATTCGTCCATTTTAATCATAAAAGGCCTCGCAAAGCAGGCAGTATCCAAAGATTGTAATAGGCCCTGTAGGCAGTATCGGTCCTCCCGAATATATCGTAAATAGGCCTCGCAAAGCAGGCAGTATCGGTCCTCCCGAATGGCTCTACACATGTAGAGCTTACTGAGTCGAATCGTTATGCAACCGGGCTCATAACCTGTTGAGAATATCCTGGGATTGACTTGACTACTGTAATGGTGGGTGCACCAGATGTGAGAATCTAGCCACCCAAGGAAGGGATGAATTTACTAAGACAACACACTGTCTTAGAAAACAGAGCCAAAGGGCCATAGCTTAGACTATTCCACAATGCAGCAATCAGGTGTGTGATGTAGTGAAGTGGTTCAGACAAGTTGCAACAAATGTTGAGTCTGGGAACTCAGGGGTAAGTCAGAGGTTAGCACCTCACTGACTTTTCAGAAACAAGGAGTATCAAGATCAATGCTTGGAAGCTTGGAAAAGATGTGGAAGTATGTGATTGTCGATTTACTGTATTGTCTGCTTGCCCTTTCTTAAGGAAAGGGCAATCCTATTTATGCTAAAGGAGTGTAGTTCTCTCATTTTCCAAGACTTTCCATGACTAACCAGGCTTGGTAACTGTAGTCGATGTAAGAGAATCCCATAGAACCATCTCCTAGGTTCCTAGCCTATAGGAAGTGAAAGGAGGTCCAAGGTCAGAGTACCCCTATAGACAAATTATGTCATAACTTAACCAATCTTGTGGGTAACTAAAGAGCGATGACATGTAATAAATCATAGAGGGTTGTAGAAGCTTTTGGAGCTATCGTTCATGTTCCTAGGCCTCTAGTTGATAGAGATATGTCATGTGTAGTATTAGCCCAGTAACTAAGGAGTGATGTCATGTAATGAATCATAGAGGGTTGTAGAGATATGCTATGTGGTCATATCGGCCCAGTAAGTAAGGAGCAATGACATGTAATGAATCATAGAGGGTTGTAGCAATCGTTGAGTAATATTGCTCTAGTTGTTGGTGTGACAAGCCAAAATATGTATAGTGACTTGTAGGTTTGAGGAGGAGATTTCTAAGTTTGCTCTTGAGTTTGATAGCAAACTGAGTGCAACGAATGTCAGTATGACAACTACCCTATTCTATGGAGGGGATAGGCCCCATTTTAATACTGTATTCCTACCGGTTGTGGTAATCCCACGGTAGGTTCCGGGCTACGGCACCATTCTCATTTATCCCCAACATCTTCACTATGAACGTGACCGGCACGTGAAAGCTGACACAAAAGTTGGGGAAACTGGGACGTGTTTCTGCCTTATTTTGGCCTTATTTCTGCCTTATTCTGCCTTATTTCTGCCTTATTTCTGCCTTATTTCTTTCTGCCTGGTTTTGGCCTTATTTTTCGCCTTTCCTGTCTGTGCCTGTTATGTTTACTATCCCCCT